AGAAAGTCAGATAGATCTGGGTTCGAAGCCCAGCCTGGCCGCTGCCATCCACATATCATGGAACAAAGCACTTAACAGTTCCTGAAAGGCCAAGTCCGTGTTGTCAGAGGCACGGGAAGCTAAGAAAGCTGGAAAATCAGCGCTCTTCATCATTCTGTCTCAGTGTTCTGGGGGGAACCAGGAAGAGAGACAGATGGGCAGACAGTCACACTTGAGCACAATTTCCTCGTGACTTCCTACAAGTGCACTTATTGCTGCCCCAGCTGACAAAAACAATGAAAACCAAAGTTCCAGGCAAAGTAAAAAGAAGTCTACACAGAGGATCCAGGGCCCTCAGCAACCAGTGTGCTTGGACTCGGGTAGGGGTCAGGGATGCAACCAGGAGCCAGGAGAAGCGGTGGCTCTTAGAGAAGCTGAGCAGGAGAAGGCATGCCCTTTACCTTCAGCCTCTCACCACAGCCTACTCTGTTTTATTCTAGACCCATATAAAGTTCTGCCAGAGCCTTGCTCCAGGGTGTAGAACATTGGGAAGGATTTCCTACCACAGCCCAAGCCTGAGGTCCACACCCCCACAGAAAGCCTCTGTCGTACTGTGTCCTGTTTGGCATGCTCTCCCCTAGATGCCTACGTGGCTCACATATTCCATAATTTCAGATTTCTTAGAGAAACTTCCTGGGAACTCCTGTCCTGGAGGTTCCTCCTCCCTTCCTGTTCCTGGCATTGCCCTGATAGATCCTTCCCCCTCACACCTATCGCCATGTGATATATTTTCCTCGATAATCAGTGATTTGTCTACTAGAATGTCAGCTCCATGATGGAGGGAGGTCTTGCTGTCACCAGGATGTCCTGTCTTAGTTTCTTACTTGCTGCTGTGTGATAAAATACCGTATCAAAAGCAGCTTAAAGGAAAGGGATTTTATTTTCAAGACACAGTCATCAGGGTGGGGAAGTTGAGGCAGCAGGAGCTGGTCACATTGATACCCCCTCCCAAGTCAAAAGAGAGCAATGCATGCATGCATGCCAGTGCTCAGCTCGATTTCTCTACTCTTCTACAGCCCCGGGTTCTCTGTCTAGGGAATAGTGTCACCCATGGTGGATGGGGTCTCCCCACCTCAATTAACACAACCAAGATAAATCCCCACAGACATGCCTAGAGGCCCATCTCCTAGGAGATTCTAGATCTGTCAAGTTAACAGCTACTACCAACCATCAAAAACCTCATGACCACCCCATCAAGGAGGGACAGGTGTCCTTTCCTTGGCCAATCATTTCTCAGAAGAAGAGGGCTACAGAAATCAGCTGCCTGAAGCGGGCACCAGAAGCTCCTTCCCTGCAAACTCCAAGGAAAGTTTACCTGTGAGAACTACACCCCAGTGTGTCCACCTAAATCAGCACGTCCACAGTGCAGGGGTCTGGTCTCTGTCATACCCAGGGATCCCCATTGCTTCTGACAGCCTCTGCTGCTGTTGCTCAGACTTCAGCCCCTGCTCCAGATCTGCAGCTGTGCTCAATCCGTCCCCACCCCCAACTTTCTCCTGTCTCAGCAGCAAATGATGGTCCTCCATTGCCCTGGCCATGCTCTGTCAACTCACTCACGCAAGAGCATGGGCCTTTCCTCCTCCTACCTCTGTCCATGAGCCCATCACTTACCTGGCCTGGTGGTGCTCAGCTCCTATCTGAATTTCTAAAGCGGGGAAACTGAGAAAGAGGGCTGGATACCAAGCTGTGTCCTCTGGAATCAGTAACTGCCACTGTGTGATTCCCCAGTCACCCACCTACCCATCCCTACATGGACAATATACCTCTGTGTTCTCCAGGTGTTAGAGGTGACACTGCCATCTTGGATGCATGTGACACATTTAGCCAGTGCCTGGTGTGTACTGTGTTTACCATGTCATACAGGCTTAGCTTGTTCAGGAACTCTCCATTTCCTTGAGGTCCTTTTGGCTGAAGGAGGCCTCCTTGTTGGTCACAATTTGGGACCTGGGTCACTTAAGCTGCACCCAGCTTCCCCACTCCCTCTCATAGCTCCCCCCTGCTCCTCCCACCTCTGTATGGTCCTGTGTGGCAAGCACATGACACTGCCCTATTTTCACCTCTGTATGCTGCAGGGGCATGGCTTCATCTGTGCCACCCTGCTTCTCAGATTCTGGCCCAAGTCTTGTTCAGGGCACATGGGGAATAAATGTGCTGTAGGACTGCCTTGCTATGGCAGCTACTTTCTTAGACCCCACAGCCTCTCTATGAATGTGACTTCAGCTTACATTAGAGAGAGTAGCAGAGTGAGCCCCTGCCTTCAGCCTGCACTCCGGAGCTGCCGCCATGCCGGTCCAATTCAATTCCCACTTCCTCATTGATCTCTGAGGTCCACTCTTGTTTTTGCCTCTCGGAGTGTTGGACCCATTAAGCTACATGCGGGGGTCAGGCCCCTGGGGCTTGAGCCGCTCAGCTTGCCTGCACAATTGAAATCCCAGCCCATCCTGGCTGCTTTTCTCATTAAGATGATTGGACTGGATTGATCTGGTCAATCAATAGGCGAACATCAGCAGTGGGAAACCGATCAAATGAGCCTGGGTGATCAGCCCCAGGATGAAGCCCCCACTGTGCTCTGAAATGGAGGTGGGGAGGCAGAGGAATGGGCTGGAGGTCTCACCAGACTGTGCGGTGGTGTGGAGGCAGCAGCATACCCAAGGTGTGGCTACTGGAGTGCTTGTGGGTATCCAAGACTCTTTCTTAGCTGCTCAGGCTGTAGTGGGCTCCCCGGTGACCTGCCATGGGACCTTCCCTCCCTTGAGTGTCTGGGCACGTGGGGCTGGGAACACCAATGGTGGCATCTCAGGGCCTTCTTCCCGGGAGTAGGTGGCTCTGAAGCTGAAGCAGAGGATTGGATGGGCCAGATCTCAGTGTGCCTCTGGGACCGTGTGTAGAGTCAGTGACAGCGAAGGAGCCTCCCAGGAAAAGTGATTTGGAGACACTGGAGTAATTGTGTTTTCCTCTTCTACAAGCCCTCTAAGCCTATTGTCATATTATCTTATGCCGGCTCATGTTTGGGCATTTGGCCACCAGAGGGCAGTGCTGATTGGGGGGGGGGTATTTGTGACGCCTTTAGAAGAAGGGGGCTGGCTGGAGGAAGTGGGTTGCTGGAAGGGAGGCCTTGAAGGTTACAGCCTTGCCCAACTTCCGGCTTGAGAGGTCTGCCTCCTGGGCAATGTCATTCAACAAGCCACAGCTGTGAACTATCACCTTGGTGGACTCCAGCTCCCCTCCATAAGGCAGTACACCCTCTCAGACTGTGAGCCAACATGAGCCCTTCCTCCCCATGTTGCTCCTGCCAGGTGTTTTTGAGCCATAACCAATGCATCGACCAGGTATATGTGTCACTGTGCTGAAAGGGGTGGGGTCTGGGGGAGGAGCCCAATGTTGCTTCCTTTTCCACTGGTTTCAGGAGATCTTCAATTTTTATTTCTTACTTGTATAAACAAAGGTTTCCGGAAAGAAATTATGCCTTTCACAAGGTGGAGAGGGTGGGCTATTCCAGGTCCAAAGCTTGATTGCAATTTGTCTAGGGGTGTTTTAACCCCCCCCCCCCCCCTTTTTCCCCTGCCTTTCCCACTTCTGTGACTGATCTAGTATCAAGTGAAACCTTTTGGAAATGCATTAACTTAGCCAACCATGTGCTTCTCCCAACCAAAGAGCTGAGCCAAGTAGCTGCCAGGCAGCATCTGAGGCCGTGACAGTCCCCCCTTTGCTGTGACCACTCTCTGATGTCTCCACCAGTGTATCTGAAAAGCACCTGGACTCGTGACTTTCATTCATTCTCTTCCTAGAAAAACTTCGTGCAACTGCTTCCGTGTTGGAACAGGGAAAAACTGTTCCCAGGGTAAAACTGTGTTCCCAGGCCCTCGTTATCCATGTTTGGCTTCAGAATAAATGACCTCTTATCCCGTTTGAAGTTGGACTTGTGGGTTTTGTGTCAACCTTTATTGTGTGTATGTCTGTGTGTGCGTTTGTGTGTGTGTGGACAAGTGTACATCCTATGTTATGTGTGAAGCTCAGAGAACAGCTTTCAGGAATCTGTGTTCTTTAAATTGTGGGTTCTGGAAACTGAACTTGGGCTGTCAAGCTTGCACAGTGAGCACTTTTACCGGCTGAACTGTCTCGCTGGATCTCTGTGGTTCTGGTAGATGAGGGTCCTGCTTTCGGGAAAATTCTTCACTAAGGGCTACTTATGGTCTGGGCTCAATGGGAGCCATGGAGGTGGCAGAACGGAAACGCCAGTGAGAGGGAGGGAGAATGAGAGTGGCTCTCTCGGCATAGCCTGAGGAACAAGCGGCGACAGCCACACAGGAGGTCTGTTCCCCCAGTAGTCTTCACCTTCACTTCCCTATTGCAAGCGGTGGTCGCTGCCCAGACTGGGTATTGTTAGGTCCTCAGTGTCCTCCTCCAATAATTGAAGAATGGCATAAAAACGGCAAAATAGGAAGGGATTTGATTCGCAAGTACAGGCCAAGAGAGCAGGGCTCTGAGTGAGTCTTTCCAGAGGAGGCTTTCCCCTGCTCCTTTCCAGAGCTCAGGAAGAGGAGGGAGCTGGGTGTTGGGGTGGGGTGGGGGTTAGTGTTGATATGGAGGCTTAAACTGTGGAAGCCTTTATTCATGAGAATGTCTTTTCCCACAATGCATCTGATCTTGATCACTTGTGTGGCCAGTCATGCACAGGCATAAGAGAGTACACGGGGTTTTCCTTCAGAGACCATGGTAGCATAGGCTGCCTTTATTGCAAGCATGTAAAACCAGTTCAGACTGGTTTGGCTCCCTGTCCTGAGTTTTAAGATTTATTTGGTCACCAAAAAGGAGTTGCTAAGGGTTGGTAGGAAGGAATGGCCCTATCTACTGTATTATTTGGAACTTGATGGTATGGTGTAGGTGGGGGGCGGGGCTCCCAGATTACTAAACTACCCATGATGCTTGCCTGTCTCATCCCGTGTCTCTTCCCTCCACAGGCTACCTGACAGTCAACATTGAGCCCCTTCCCCCTGTGGTGGCTGGGGACGCAGTGACCCTGAAGTGTAACTTCAAGACAGACGGCCGCATGCGTGAGATCGTATGGTACCGGGTAAGTGGCCGCTCCACAAGGCTGTCTCTGGGTCCTAGGGCCGTGACAAAGTCCACAGGCAAGGCTGCATCTGTCCTGGTCACTCGTAAGCTGCCCTCTGCTCCCTGGCCTCTCCTGTACCTCTGATTATCCCAGGAATCTACCCCAGCAGAAATTCCTGAGAGGGGCACAAGCGCTGGGAACAGCATGCAGCTGGGAACAGCATGCAGCTGGGAACAGCACTGATGTGGCTCTAAGCAGGGCGCTTCGCTGCACTTTCGGTATGGGAGAGGGCACAGGAAGGCTTCCTGTCTTTAGAACTGCCTTTCAGCGGGGCGTGGTGATGCACAGCTGAACATACAGGAGGCCAAAACAGGAAGTTTGCTGGATTTAGGGCAAGCCTTGGCTACATGGTGAGAGTATGCCTCAGACAACCAAAAATCACATCGCATTTCAGAGATTTTCTGCCACTTAAGCTTACTGCACAAGACTGAGCCTGGCACCTGGCACCAGGTATCTAGGCCTGAGGAGGGAAGTGGCTGAAGATGCATCAGCGTCACCTGTCCTGGGCCCAGGTGACAGTGGGGACAGTAGGAAGAACAGCTTTGGGTCTTGGGCACAAGAAGTCCTTCCAGCCATGGAAGGCTGGATCTCTGTGGGTCTGAATGGAGTATCCCAGCCTGGTATCCCTTTGAAGAGCGGGGGCTGGGATCCAGGGAAGGTGCAGCAGGCTTGGGGGCTGGTCTGTGAGAACATGCCCAGGGATGCCACAGACAATTCCTCTCCTGGGATCTCAGCCAGGGGTGGGCATCATTTCCCAGTAAAGGCCAAGACTGTAAACATGTTCCTTTCTGCCAACCATAGCGCGTGAATCACAGCCCCTTCACACTGTTTGGGGCAGTGTGTAAATGAGAGGGCACACCATGTCCCCAAACACGCTGTGCATGGAAACTGGCAACTTGAATTTTGTATCGTTTTCTCTTGGACTGAAGTTTAGCTGGAGTTAGAGATGGGAAAAATCCCGGGGCCCCATAGCCTTCCACTGTCCCCCACCCCCAGTCATCATGATAGAGGAGATGACAGCCCTTCTGAAGAGAAAGCTTCCAGAGGACAGACAACACCAGGCCAGGTTGTGCCCATGAACAGTGTCCCTGTGGCTCCCTAAGCTGGAGGCACAGGCTGTCATGGAACTCTAGGCTGGATGGAGGCTTCTATCTTCCTTCCGCCCCGCCCAGTCTACCCCCTACCTTGACAGCTTAAAGAACTGGTTACGTCTCTGACAGGTGTCAGAGCCTCTGTATGGGGCTACGATAGGCTACACTAATTTATTTTATTTCATTTCACATCCTTTGACTGAAGGCCTCTGAAGGGGGTATGCAGATATATGCAAATCACATGCAAATTGCCCACTGGAGCCAAATGCCAGGCCCTTTTAATTCTGTAGCTGGACAGGGTGGTGCCTCAGCTGTCTGGTTGCTCTCCTTGGGACCAGAAGAGCCCATGTGCTCTGGCTGTGAGGAGAAGGAGGGAGGCAGGGGCAGAGGAAATTCCAGGAAGGAGGCTCCATGCTGCCAGCTTTCTTTTCCTTTGACTGCTGCTGTTCTGGCCTCCCTCCTTTCCCTAAGAGCCAGCTGAAGAGAGAGAGATAAGAACTGACCTACCCAGGTAGCAGTTCCAGAACCTGGAGCTGAGCAGAGGGAATGAAAGAGGCAGCAAGGAAAGCCCCAGCCTCTGTCTCCAATGGACACCCCCCTACACACACCAGACTAGGGCCCCTCAGCCTGCCTCCCCTCCCTTCCCCTCCCCTCCAGGAGCTGGCCACAAATCGCCAAGTGCCATGGGCCTTTTGTTTCCAGGCCCCTGTTACTTCCCTCCTCCTTCTTCCCCCAGCTCCTGAATGGGCTTACAGAGCCTGGCTTAGAAAGAGATGAATAGATCCCACAGGCCCAGCCAGGCCCAGGCCTCCAATTGCCTCAGAAGGGAAAAGCAGAGGCATTGTGACGGGCCACCACTGGCTCAGCCCAGTGGACACAGACAAGCCCAATGCGCGTGTGTGAAGTCTTGCAGCTCTGCTCCTCTCTAGAAAAGTGTCCCGGAAGTAGATCATCAGTTTTCCCAAGGCACAGAAGCCTGAGTAGCTCACTTGCCTAGCATGTGCAAGTCTCTGGGTTCAATCCCCAGCAACACACACACACACACACACACACACACACACACACACACACACGACTGGTTCTTTGGAGGGGAGCCAATAATTGCACTATCTGACCTCTGGCTAGACCTGGGGATACCTAGAGGAAAGAAGAATAATAGAAAAGAAGTCTGAACCTGGATACCTTGCCTGAGGTCTGGCTAATGTGGAAAGAGCTCAGGCCAGTTTGCTGAAGATGCCCAAAACTATGGGATAGTCTTAAGAGGGCAAAAGGAATCAGAGCGTTCCCCACTCCTTCCCCCATGGCAATCGGCGTCACCCACGCGCCACCACCGGTCACACATGGCTGTTCTGATTTAAATTAAAGAGCAAAACGCTTTTCTTATTCATTCAGACAAGCCATTTCCAGCACTCACTGACACAGAGCCGGTGGCGGCTTACAACAGAATGGAAACAGAACATTCTCATCTCTGTGCGGGTCTGTTGGAACCCAGAATGCCTCTGACATGCAGGTCTCCTCCCAACCGGAGCCTCTAGAATATACTATGCTTGTCTGTCAAAGGGATGGTGCTGGCTATTCACAGTCATTTCCTGGCCAACTCACACCACAGTGAGTTCCAGCAAAGCGAACTGTATTGATTTTGTGACCTATCATCATTACAGCATGTGTGTTTGTGGTAAGGGAGGGCGGGAAGAAGGAAGCTGTTATCCCTCTTTTATACATTTGAACACACAGAGAGGGCAAGGCCATGGTCAGGCCTGGGGTCTTGGCTACTGTGGTGTCTGTCAAATTCCTGTGTCACCTAAGGATTCCCTGCAACCTTCTCATCTCCCCGAGATGTTTTCACTGTTGCATGGATCCATCTCCTAGAATGGAGTTCCCCAGTCTCCGCCTGCAAACCCTGACACATAATTCTTTTTATTTTCTCAACAACACACAGTAGCTAATAGGATGGAGGTACAATTCCATACAGGGCCAATAGGAGCTGGCCATCTAACCTCCCGCCTACCTTAGGGCTCACAGAGGAACTCTGGGGGAATGTTACACAGTAAACTTTCATTTCGTCCTTCCCGTCCACTGGGGTCATGCTTAGAAATAAGATGAATGCTAACCTGAGCGGCAGGCATTATTGTGTCATTCCTGAGAGTTGAGTACAGGGTCAAGGGCTTTACACTTCAATTTCATGTTGTCACTGGGAGGCAAATAAGACTGTAAATTCTGCTCTTCAAGGGAGGAAGCCAGGGCCACTTAAAATACTGGGCCTCAGGTCCTATCCCCCCCCCCCCAACTTCTCCAGACACACACTCCTCTGGGCACCTCCATTATAAAAGGTGTACCTGTTTCCAGTGATTCCGGGCAGCTGCTGCAAGGTCACCTTGGTCGTGTTGGCTACATTAACAAAGACTGGGCTTGGGGGAGGCGGATCTGTGGGTAGAAGGGGCTACAATGCAAGTATGAGGATCTGAGTTCAAATCCCCAGAACCCAGTAAAGGCTGGTGTGGTAGCACATGTCTGTACTCCTGGAGCTCGTAGGGGAGATAGGAGACAGAAACAGGGGGATCCCCAGGAATCCCCAGGTCCTTGAGGTCCAGCTGGCCAGTGGGAACAGCGGAAAATCATGAAAGGACCCCACCTCAAACAAGGTGAGAGGCAAAGAGCAACGCTCAAGGCTGACCTCTACATTCATGTGTCCACATTTACACGTATGAATGTGCACACGCACACACACACACACACACACACACACACACACACACACGAACCATCCATGTAGCCTCATGTCTTGGGTGTATATGCGTCCACAGAGACTAGTACCTGTCTGTCGGGGAAAGTATGTGTTTCTGCAGCTCCTCTGTGGAATGTGAGCACCAGGCACATTTCTTATTAAAAAATCCTGTCTAATCTCATTTAGTTGGGGGTCGCCTGCCCAGCAGGCAAAGGCAAAGGTCTGTTTATATCATAGAAATCCATTAAGCAGCCATGGGGAATCATGGGAATTTAACCTTTCATGGTGTTTTTTTTTTTTTTTTTTTATCACCACATCTTTGTTTTTGTCTCCTTCCTGCACTATTTATTCCCAAGATGTGCTCTGAGCACAGGTTACAAGGCCATGGAAAGAAAGCCACGGAAGGAGATGGACGGGAAGGAGATGCCTAAGGCTCTGCTTTCTGCAGCCTTAAAAAAAAAAGGGTTATATACATATATGTGTGTGTATGTATGTATGTAGGCTAATCTGTGTGAGTTTATGTATACCTCACATCTGTGGGTGCCCAAGGAGGCCAGAGGGCACCACATGCTACAGATTCAAAGTTACGGGCAGTTGTGAGATGCCTGACTTGTGTGCTGGAAACTGAACCCCATTCCCCTGCAAGAGCACCAGGAGCTCTTAGCTGCTGAGCCCTCTCTTCGTCTCTCCATCTCCCCTACCCCTTTCTGCATCTCCTTATGGTGGATGCTGGCAGCTGGAGGTGTGTTTGTTTTGAGGGGCAAATGGTGTTACCTGGCCACGCTTGTTCCTTGTAGGGATAGTGAGGGAGAGCACTGAGCTTGGAACCAAATAAGACAACGGAGAGAGACACACACACAGAGAGAGAGAGAGACAAAGAGAGAGAGGTGCTGCTGTGAGCTCAAAGGTTCCAATTCCTGGAAGCAAGCTCCTGCAGGGAAGCCAATCTGTGGATCTTGGCTCTCCCTGAAGCAGGGGGCCCTTTCAAATGGTCTTCGCTGTTGCTAGCTTTCTCTTATTCCCTTGATAGTGTTCTGTCTGAAGACAAATGGGTGACAGGAAACATAAGAGAGTGCCACAATCCAACAACTTCAGCCACCTTCTCAAGTGGCAGATGGACACCAGCATGCATGTCCCAAAGA